GAGGGGCAACCAGAAAAGCTATCATTACAATTAAATCTGTCCCCATGGGATCTGACAGACAACCTGAGAAGGCTGCTCTGCACAGACCAGCAGGGACAGCCCTGGATGTTCTGGTCTGTGAGAACACAGCCTTTCACCCCAGGAAGGGACTACAGCCTCATTTGCTCATTCATTCATTGAGTCAGTCAGTCTTACATGCATGCATTTATTCATCAATGAATATGTACTAAAGGCTGTTCCCACTTATTCAACAGCACATATGCTGTCCCCACCCTCTGCTGTGGGTTCATACAATGTAAAAGAGATATAGGCAAAAATAAAAGTCAGTAGGTGGGAGCAGAATGGACAGAAGTAAGGGGGGAAGGAAATGTATGACCAAGTCAGAATAGCTGTGGTCCCCTCCTTCCCACCACTGGCCATTGGGAAGGGTCTTATACCTGGATGAGCAACTCAGGTATGAAAACATGCCCACACAAGATTTCTGAGCTAAAAGTGAGTGGCAAGGTGGAATGGCAACAAGACCCAGCATTCATGAAACAGGGCTGGGAAACTGGGGATTATACCAGAGACCATAAAAGCTAAAGAAGTGCCCACAACTCCTGGGTCCCAGATTCTACATGATGTTGGCTAAATGCAGAGTACCTTTTGCAGGGAGGTGAACCATTCAGATGGTTCCCTCCTCTCCCAAGGAGGCCTATGAGTTCTGTTGGAGTTCATGGGGTCCATGTGTCATTGGTACACTGTTGCCTCCTTTTCATCATGGTGACTGGGGATCCAGCTCCAACTCTGCCTCTTTTTGCTGCTCTCAGAACCCTTTGTGCCAGCTCCCAGGCTAGCACTCACTGGAATGTGGTCAATCAGGGGACCAACCTGGGTCTACAACCGACATCAGAAAGAAGATGTCTGCTAAACAGGGATGGATTCCAAGCACACATGGAGATACCTACTACTCTAGAACAATGACCAATATGTTTTAATTGAAGGACTAGAGGAGCCCATCATTCCAAGAATCAATACCCTCCACATGATCTGAGGCAGAACTATCCCCCTCTGAGTCTAGTTCTATTTGTTTGAAGGAACAGTAATAATGACCTTGGGGACTTATGCTGGCCTTAAGAAATGCATGTGAAGAAGAGCTGGGGTCTGGAGCTATGCTTTGCAAATGTGAGGGTGCACCATTTTCTCTGAGGCAAGGCAGGGTAGTGTCCCTCACTGAAGTCCCCAGGATCTGCTGCTACCTAGACTAGCACTAAGTATTCCTGCTCCTAGTTGCTGCCCTCGGGACAGAACTCAGAACTCAGCACATAGGCAGGTCTGCATGGACACTGTTTGAAGAAAGAGAGCTGGAAATGCCCACTTTTTTCAATGCAGTGCATCCCTGATCTGTATTCACTGCAGGTCCCAAGAGACTACACAGACCAATCACTGACACATCTCAGAAGACACAGAGAGCTCTACAGAGACAAGAATCGGTGGAAGGAGGAGGTAGTGGGTGGCACATCAGTGGAACATTCTAATCAGTGTGGCAAATAGCTTAGCCCATTAGTCACCACCACTGGGTATCTATGGAAATGCCTAATGATGGTCTTCAGGACAGACAGCCAGACAGCATACTGGTTTCTATAAGATCCTCAGATGGGCCCAGCCCTCCTCCTCTTCTCCACTGGATTAAATATGCATTCTCTCTCTCCTCTCTCTCTCTCCTCTCTCTCTTTCTCTCTCTCTCTCTCTCTCTCACACACACACACAGAGAGAGAGAGAGAGAGAGAGAGAGAGAGGGAGGGAGGGAGGGAGGGAGGAAAGGAGGGAGGGAGGAAGGAAGGGAGGCACTCATTATTCAGTGCCCTTTTGTGAGTCTGGCCCTGCCTGCGGCCTTGCTTTCCCTGAGTTTTGTCTTGCTGCAGCTCCTTTGCAGATGAAGCACTGCAGTCCAGGTCTGCAGCTAGCACACACCAGGAGGAAGACAAATGGTTAGGGACATCGTATTCTCTATAGCCAAGGTAAAAACAGCGAGTCAATGGGCCCCTGCTCAGAGCTAGTCAGGAGGCTTCTCACCTCTGGGATGACAGCACTCCTCCCACACAGAGGAGTTGGTGCCTTTGGCATTACAGATAAGGAAACTGAGGCACAAAGAACCTGGCCAACAGCCCAAGTCATGTGTAACTCACCACCAGAAAGTGGCAGAGCCAGGATGAAAACCCATGTCTCCTGGCTCTGTGGTGACACCGTGCCTGCCTGAGCCTGACACTGATGTCACCAAACACAGACAGAGGTCCATAGCTTAGCTTTGCTCTCTACCAAAACCTCCTAAAGCACCAGCAACTTCCAGAAATCCACACTGAAGCTGAAACCCTTCCAAACAGAACAGAGTCTAGGTAAAACTGGGGCATGGGACTTTTATCTTATCATGGGAAACATTTGAGTGATCTCCATGTTCGCCAACAGAACAAGTATTAAATTATCTTCCCCCATTTGATGAATAGCTCAGCCTTTAACAATATGTGTAAGGCTTGTTTATAATGTAGGAACTGTTTATGTGTTTGTCAAGCTTGAAAAAGGATAGGAAAGTACAATGATGGCATAGTCATTTATATAAACAAAATTAAAACCAGGGAATCACGAAATGACTTGGAAAAGTACAAAACTAAAATAAAGGTTGTTTGGGGATATGAGAGGATTTGTTTTTCTTTACCTAAACTTTCTTGACTTTTCTTTTGCTTTCTACTCTGAGAATAGAGAACTTTCACAAAGTAATACCATTAAGAGGTCAAGATTTGGGGAAGAAGGGACTGTGTTAATGTGCTCCCTCTCAGCTGTTCAGAGCCAGGGCAGACAGGACAGTATCTGGGTGAGTCCCAGGCAGTTCCTGACTACCAAGAGAGATTCAGGTGTCTGAGGTTACTGAAGCTCGATACCCAAAGCCCTCGCTCCTTGCCAAGCAGCTGGGATATACATTTGGAAACCAGTTACTACAAAACAACAACCTGTTCCTTTTAAAGTGACCATGGAACCTTCACTAAGGATTCCCATTAATCAGGCCTGGAAACACCTGAATGGTCTTACCTGCCCTCCAGCAAGCCATATGGGTTTAGCTCCTGAGGGAGTTGTGACCTCAGTTCATCCTCTGAGGAAGGCATAAGAGCTGAGATCACCCCCAGGACCCTGGCTACAGGTCTGAGCTAGTTGGAGCCACACATGAGAGTCTCTGTACAGGTGACAGATATGGCTGGAGATAAAATTGGGATGAAGACCCTGTCCCGCCATGTGTTACTGGAAGCTGGAGAGGTAAACACTGAGTAGGATATATATGACCAGCTGTGAGGGAAGAAGACAACAGTGGCATTCTTTCTTATTCCATCACATGGCTTGGGTCCTGGTGGTCTAAGCCTACTTGGGCTTTCCAAGACTGAAGACAAGTCAACTCTGCCAATGGCTTACCCCTCTAAGACCAGGATCATCACCTCTCCACAATACCACTTGACCCCTCCCCTCACAAATGACCCCTCCAGGCTTACACTGAGATATGTTGGTTCTTAACATTACTTCTGGATAAACGTCAGTACCTATGTATCTGTCCACATTCTGTGTGCATGTGACATGTGCTCACACTGGCCAAACCAAAGCAGAACAGGACCAGCCTGGGAGAGATTGAAGCACACAGCAGAAAGGACTTGACCATTTCCCAGGAACCTTTCTGGGGTCCTGTCAAGGATGATCATAGCTCATAGCAGGCATTGAAACAGATAACAGCTTCTTCCCTTGAGTGTTCCTCTAGGATAGCATGATATAGGAATGGAAGTCTTATTTCAATTTCATTGGTTGACTTATGGGCTCTAGCTTAAGCCTTAGTAAGATGACAGAAACAAGTTACCACATAGACTGCTGGGGTTAGGAAACCTACCATTAAATCTCCATTTCCAACAGGCCTTGCACAGGAAGCATAGTAACAATACATCATTCAAGTCAGCTGAGCTGCCCAGCAACTTGATGAAGTGCAGTAATATTGTCCTATATACTAGTGAACAGGCTTTGGGGGCACAGTGCCATTCCCCAGCCTCACAATGAAATGACAGTCACCTAATGAAACTGTCCTTGGGCTTCCAATGTATAGCTTCTTGGACAATAATTTGAACAGTGAGTAGTACTTTGACCTTCCTGCCAATTATGAAAAAAGTGTCAATCCAATCTGCTAAACTTTTCCCTCAACCATGCAAAAGCCCCCACACACACACACACACACAAAGAAAAACACCCTCAACTTCTCCATGGATGAGCACTGCCCCCACACACACACAAAGAAAAACACCCTCAACTTCTCCATGGATGAGCACTGAAAGATTGAGGCTTTTGAGCCAACCCTGAATCATGGCGACCCCAATTATCAGGCCCTCTTCTGACCCCTTTCTCTTTCTTCCATTGATTTCTAAGGACACTGATTTCCTTGAGAGTCTACAAACAACTGTTCATAGCTGATTCTAATAGACAATCTGATCAAATCACTTCCAGATAGCAAACCGCACTATAACCAAAACACAGGTGTCTGTCCCAAGCTACCTTTGAATTATTACTTAGAAAGGCATGAGCTTAGGTCAACATCCAGGTTGCAAAAGAAACATAAAGCCCTATCATCAGGGCTGGGTTGAATGATGGTGACCTCCCTCGGGACAAGCACCAGACAGAGATAAGGAGATCACCAAATAGACTGTCCACTCCCAGCATGGGAATCTGTAGAGCTCAGTCCAGGAATGTGGAAAAAGGGAAAGAAGGAAGAAGATGCCCTCATTCCATTCTACCAACCCACATAAATAAAGGCTACAAACATTTTCAAACCCAATTGCCATTTGAGAAGAGGGTATGGTAAGACCTACCTGGTGCTGAGCTACCTGCCTGCAGAGGCAGCATACAGAGAAGTGAACTCCTTTCTCTGTGATTCCCTGAGGCAGTCATTAGAGGGGCCTCCTTCCCACCCACCCAGAAGCCAGAGGTGGCACTGTACTCACCCCACTGCAGAGGTGCCAGCTGCAGGTGTTCCAGGACGAGCTGGTTCAGGAGGCCCTCCACGCTCGCCTCACCGCTGCGCTTTAGAGATGGGTAAGCTTCAGTCAAGGAAAACTTAGCTCCTGCTAAACTACAGAACTGGAGGAGTTAGCTAGACAGATACACCACAAGATGAGAACAGTCTTAATTACATAGGTCACCCCTCTGCACAAGTGGTTGTCTACCCCGTGGTGAGGGCATCAACCTGAGAGTGGGGGAAACCAGACACAGAAACACAACAGGTTCCCCTTCTTTCACCTGTACATCCACTCAAATGAGTGACTGTTCTATAAGGAAGAAAGAGCTCCAGGGTACTCTTATCCCAACCATGGTTGTTGCTGGGGGAAATAAGTCAAAATTTGAGGTTATTTTTCCTTAATAGAATATGCAAAGTGTGGGTTGACTGTTCAGGACAAGCTTGTGTTTCTCGACTCATACTGGGTTCGTGCTGGTTTCGTGCTTGCTGTGTTATACATCTTGATGTAATTACATACATTATTGTGAACATGCTCTCTCAAGTGAGTTCATAATTGAGGAAGTCATAAGTCTCTCAGCAAGCATCAGTGGATGAAAAAAAATCATGGCTTTAAAATGCAGACAGCAGGCAAATTCCAGGAGCTGCTGGGAGGCCCCAGTGCAGCTCTCAGCAGGTCTGTAAGCCTCTCGCCTCTCCCACAAAATCAAAGTCACCATACACAAGCAAAAAGAAAATGGGGAAATTGAGCTCCTGATGTTTAGTAACAATTAGAAATAGGAGGAGAGCACATTTCCTACTTCTTTCTGGCAAGTCCATTCTGTTTAACAAACACGCCCCTTGTCCCAAGTGAGACAGGCAGGGAGGCATTGGGTACAGAGATGCCAGGAAGAGTTTGATGTTGAGCCCACCTGGTAAAGATGAAAATTACATGTGCCAAGTCTGGGAACGGTGGTGTGAGTTGATCTTCTAAGTAGAGACTCAAAGGGGCAGAGGTGGGGGCCTGAGTAGGAGGGGCAGGGCCAGTAAGTGAAGGGGCTCATGATCCTAGGTCTCAGACCAGTATATCTCTGAAGCCAGCAGCCCCACTGGGCATTTAGGGAAAATTACACAGACTAGGGCTGTCTAGGAAGCATGGCTGGACCAGCATTGACTGAGATGATGCTAGACTAGCCCCCATGATGCCTAGGGAACCTTGCCTACCCCTAAGACTGACCAGTTACTCTAGACTTCCTCCCAGTACCACATGATTCACTGTCTGTCTTCCCCCTTGTGTCTCCTTCCTCATTTGGTCCTTCCTTCATCTTTTCTTTGATCCCACTTCCTCCAGGAAGTGTTTCCAAGCTGTCTCTGTTCAGAAGGTTCTCCTGTGTCCTCTTCCAAGACACACTACAGCTGGGCTTCACCACTAGCTTGTGAGCCCCTGGAGGCCCACAAAAGTGCCAGACCCCATTGACAGTGCTCAACAGTGAATGAAAGCCAGTGAGCAAGCACCCCAGGTGGGCAGCACAGGGCCATGATTCACCACGAGCAAAGCCCAGAGCTGTCTCCAGAGATTAGCCTAACTTCGAGTTTTTTAATTCTGCCACTGTCTCTCATGAACTTTGGACAAAACAAACAAACAAACAAGCAAAAACAACAACAACAACAAAAAAAAACCAAAACAGAAAACAAAAAACCACCGAGTTGGCTTCATCATCTGCAGCATTACAACAAGAACACTTGTAGTTTCACAGGATCCTAAGGAGGACATGGATGCACCATCAGATGTGCCTGTTGTCAGATAGGTCCTGCTTCCCTCCCCTCTGGGGAGTCCCTTCCCTGCCTTGCTTCAGTGAGTGAGCCACTGCTTTGCTCTCTCTACCCCTAAGGGATCCTCTCTCTTCCAGCACCAGCTAGCAAAGGTATTGTTTTTGTTTTTCCCATACATAATTCTCTCTTAAGAAGAGCCTTCCACATGCTGTCTCTCCATCTCATTACCATCCAGGGCAGGTTTGCTCAAGTGTTGTTATTATTGGCCAGCACTCTGCAATGTACTTTTAATCCTCTTGCCGGTCCTGCACCAGTCCTGGGAGTGAGGATTTACCTGGTTAGTTCAACAAGGAGGGTAAGATAGGGCAGTTAGGGATACTGAACTAAGACTGAAAGCTAAGTCTTGGAGGTCACAGGCATACAAGAGAGATATGGCCTTGCAAACAGAAAACACTAACCTCCAGCAACCCCAGTACCGGCGACATGTTCACCTGAATGAGCCAAAGCCAGGATGTAAACAAAAAGATGTACACCATGTTCCCAGCAGGACTGCTCACAGTGCCAAAAGGTGGAAACATCTCAAGTGTCCACTCTCAGATAATTAAATAAAAAGAATGCAGTCCATCTGCACAATCAAATGCCATTCAGCCTTCAAAAAAAGGAAACCTAACACATTACGTGCATGTCACTTGAAGACAAAGAGAATCCATGCACAAAGGGACAAAGAAGGTACCTAGTAGTCATATCCATAGACAGAACCTCAAATCCCTAGCCCTTAATCCCATCCCTGGCTGTCAGGGATTTGAGGTGCTGAGTCTAGTTCCAATTTGAGAATGTGAGAAGCTCACAAGATGCACGTGGGTAAGGCTGCAGTACTGAGCTGTAGGCTTTGCCATGGTTAAGATGGTAAATTAAAGATAAATAAAAACATGCTGACGGAAGGAAGGGACTCTGCAATTAAGAGAAGGAGCTGGAGAGGATGAGGGGCTGAAACCAGGTGCAGAGACTGGGAACTTGCCCAGCGGAAGGGACATCTGAGCCAAGTCTCTGGAAGTGACTGGAGGGAGACAGGGATGGAGGAGGGGCCCAGAAAGAGAGGCAGGAGCCCAAAATGCATCAGCAAAGAGAAATTCCCACCAGATCATGGAAACTGAAGCTCCCTTGGGGGGGGGGGTTCCGAGATCATTTGGGAAGCTGTGCTGCTGGTTTGGTTACTGCTGGCTTCAAGGACAGCAAGGTCACTGTACACACAACTGAATAGCTCTGAGGTGACACCATTCTTCCTGAGAATGGTCCACTACTGAGTCAGTTTTCCATAGCCACCCCAAGCAACCCTAACAAACAGTTTGGCTGGGGGTGCCATAACTATAGTGAACCCCTTATCCAGCCTCCAGCAGTTACCCCATGTGAGATTTCCCAGCCATAGAATGTGGATGTAGAGGCCAGGAGTATCCCTGTGACCACTCATGCTCTGCTACGATTTTGTGATAGACTTGCTTGCAAAAATGATCAAACATAACCTCCAAATCAGGCATGGTGGTAGACCCCTGTTGGTAATCTCAGCTCTTGGGAGTCTGAGAATCAAGAATTCTTCCAGGCCTGCCTGGACTACATAGTGAGATCCTGTCTCAAGAAACCAAAACCAACCAACTAACCAAACAAACATAAAAAAATAAGTAAACAAAGAACAAAACAAAGAGCCCTCCTCTTTCTCAGCTCCTGAACAAATCCCTGCTGGGTATTCTGTAATTCACTCTAAACAAAGACAGAAAGTGATGATGTGTGCATGGGACTGGAATTATGGTTTTTGGCTTGGGTTTGTGCTCCCACAGAACTTATTCCCTGGGTACATCAAGTCCTGGGGGTGGAAACACTCAGAGCCACTACATTGGGGCTTGGTGAGTATCAATGGGGATGGACACTGGCAGGAACTATAAGAGTGTTACCCATTCCTTCTAATCAGATGAATGAGGTTCTTATACTTGAAGAACCAGAAGTCAGAGAGTTCAGCAACTTAGTGCTAGGCTGCTTAGTGATGGCACAGGGCCCACCGTGAGCACCTATAAGGTTTCCCAGTCGCACTGGCCTGTTTCTGAATATGAGCCACAAAGGGTACAGTTGAGTTAATAAAGCTGATCCCTGTGTGTACAGTCCTGAAAGACTTGCAGTCCTAAAAGCCACCAAAGGTATCTAGTACCTGAGCCTGAACCACAAGTGGCCAAGCTGGTCAGCCAAGGTCCCCACCCATGAAGCAACAATACAGTGCAGATGGTAGGAGCTACTTCTTAATGTGCACATCTTGGCATCTGGGGAGAGAGATAAATAAATTATGATGGTGACAGAAATCACTACTACTTCTGTAGAGAAATTCCTAAGGTGCTTCCTATGGGAGGGGACCTATGGTAAGTATCTGCCATGCATATTCTCTGATAATAATTTCAAATTTGGACTTCAGAACATGTTGGCTGTGGACAGGGACTGTTATTTCTAATTTGCTGCTTTTCATATGTGTATATAGTATATGTTAGTCATTTGGTCAGATTCACCCTCTCTGCTATTTTTTTTTGCTTGTTTTGTGCCCCCCCACTTTTTTCTTTCTTTCTTTTTCCTTTTCTTTCTTTCTTTCTTTCTTTTTTTTTTTAAGAGATAGCCTTGCTCTGTAGCCTAGTCTCACTCCATAACCCCAGCTGACCTAGCCATGACAATCCTCCTGCTTCAGCCTTCTCAGCTTTCTTTTTTTTTTTTAAGAGATAGCCTTGCTCTGTAGCCTAGTCTCACTCCGTAACCCCAGCTGACCAAGCCATGACAATCCTCCTGCTTCAGCCTTCTCAGCCTTCTGAATGCTGGGATGACAGCGGTAATCACTATGTACTTCCATTTCATAGATTTAAAATGACAACCCCCACCAAATTCTCAGGCCTGTGGAGGAAACAGGAAGGTTTTGGTGTTAGAAAGTGAAAGGTTGAGGTTTGAACCCATGCAGGGTGACCCTGGAGCCTTCAGTCTGTACACCACTCCACACACTCATAGACACATTGTGTGAATACTTCACTATGCACCTGGAACCCAGGAATCGAAGCGTCTGTTTGACTGTGAGGACACCTCTGCCCCATAGACTGGGTCCCTTCAGGGCCTGTACTTGCAAACAGCTGAGACAGCATCCTGACCTGTCCTAGCTTTCCAGCCTGGGTTAAAGGCCAGCATGCTGCTGAAGCATGACAACTCCCTGTGACAGGCAATGTCCATGCTTGGAGAGGGTTTCTCCACACTCTATTGGGTGTTAAGACTTTCCCTGAAAATTTTCCAAAATAGGAGTGAATCTTAAGAGTCAGGTGGTCCTCTCCAACAAACCACAGTCATTCAGATTCAGTACCTTCCAAAGGGTTTCCCAAGAACTGGGATGCCTCATCATGTAGAACAGCCTACTTGCAATAAGGCTTGCCAACTTTTATTTCTCAGAGTCCCTCTGTGGCCACCCATCCTTCTTTGGACAAAAAGCTGGACTCCCTGTAACCCAGCACAGCATACAAGTCTCTTATGACTTGTTTTTCCCTCTCCTGCTCAGCATTCATGCCTTCACAAGTATGTGCACATGTGTGTGCTCACGTGTGCAATCCCAACAATTTGCTACTCACTCTTGTACTTCATCTTCCTAGTTAGCAGCCACCCATCTTCTAGAGGGATAAGGAAATGAAGTAAGAGAAAAGTCTTTACCAACATCAACCAGCTAATTAAACAGTAATAATAATAAATGACTAATGGTAGTGGGTGACAGGTGTGAATCAGTCACAGAAGTGAACATACTCCAATTCAAATTCAACACAGTGTGGCAGGTGCAGGATAGTCACTATGTGGGGACAGACAGAGGAGGAAGGGTTGGTTTTCTGGGGTTTGGTAGACCCAAAGGGTTGTCTCAGATCCCATATCTCTAGAATATGAGTGGGTACTTATAAGGAAGATTGTGTAGAAGGTACTGCAGGCATAAAGGAGTGAGAGCTAAGGCAGGAAGTAGCAAATTATTTGGACAGCACATGTACATGGGCCCTGTCCTTCCCTTACCCCAAACAAATATGACTCGTAAGATGGTTTCCATCTCATGTACCAGCTCTGGGGTAAAGGACTACAAATAAAAGGGTGCAGCCCAGCCCTACTAGAGCTAAAGTAAACTATCAAATTGTCATAAATAGAAATTATAATAATGGAGAGACCTCTGTAAATGATTAGCAAGCCTCTTACTTGACTTTCTAATTTGCATCACCAACTTTCTAAACATTGATGCCATTTTTCTCATCTTGGTGAGTACCCTGGCATCTTAGCAGAGCTCCCTATGCCAGTGGCAGAGCTGCACAGAAAATACCCACAGTGGACATGCTGTCTGGGGAGAAGTCCAGAGAGGTCTGAAATTGGTTCACTACAGCAAGTCCTGTTGTTAGAAACATTCTAGAGCTCCACAGAAAAGAGATGGTGAAATGGATGGAGAGCAGGCAGGTGCATGCTATCAGTTTGCCCAAGAAATGTGGCCATCTCAACAGTTCCTCTGCATAGTGTGATTAGTGGGAAGGCCATGGCAGAAGGGGAAGCCTAGGTATGATGCCTAGATGGAGCTCAAAGCATAGCACTAGGGGCAGCCTGAGTCCCAGCTGACTATTCGCAAGCCAGGTGACCTTTGAGCAGGTGAAATAGCCTTATGGGCCTCGTTTTTCTCATTGGTGGCCAAGGGAGAAAACTACATCAGAAAGCTACTACAAAAAGCAACCATTGTATCCTGAATCTAGGACTTGTGACTAAGATCAAATACAGTATTTGTCCTTGTCACTTCAATATCTGGTATGTCCTCTATCTGAGAATTGAATGAATTTTTGCAGCTACACATTGACTCTAAATTATAGCACCTGCAGGAATGGCACAGTGCATGTTCGTGTTCATGTGCGTGTGCGTGTGCGTGTGCGTGTGCGTGTGCGTGTGTGTGTGTTTGTGTGTGTGTGACCTAAATAAAGCAATCTATATATATAGATATCTGGCATCTAGTGAGTGCTAAGAGCACACAAACTGTGTGCATATTCAACACTTGCCCAGTCACATGGTGCACACCAGTTCATGCGCACACAGAGGCTTGTCATGATGCCCATGGAATGTCCTTTCATACACCCTCCAGCTGGCCAAACCTGAAGTCTACATTGTCTGTGTGTCAACCTGATTCTAAGGTACACACAGCCATCATATTTAGATGGGTGGGGGCTAGCAACCCAATCTGTGTCCATGCCAACTCATTCCCTTGCCCATCAAGGGTCAAACAGCAGTAGTGATTTGACTGAATATCCAGCCAGCTTCCCTCCAGCTACCAAGCCTCTGTGCTATGCTGTGCTGTGCTACGCTGTGCTGTGCTGTGTTGTGCAAGATGAAAGACCCCTGAACCAAGTTATTACAAACAGCTCTGATAGCTGAATTCCCTAGAGGCAGCTACCAAATGATTCCCTGCATTTCACTTATGATGATCAAGGAATCAACTATACTGATGACAGGGGCTGTTTGTATTAGAATTCATTTAGATAAAACTATTTCTCCAAGCATGACTGACTATTACAAAAAAAAATACTACACTGGGTCTTAAAAGAGTCTTATTTAAAGAGGGTTAGTGTTTTTCAGATGAGAAGACAGAGCTCCATTGAGAAGCACTCTGGAGAAGACAATTAGAAAGACTGAAGAAGAGCCTGAGCTGCTCAGCAGAGCAGCCCCACTCCCACCTCAGCATCAAGAGGGGACAGGGCTAAGTACCTCTCCCTATGGAAAAGTGGCAGTCGCAGAGGGCGGGATGAAGCATAGTACAGCCTCAGGTAGGTTGTCCTGCCTGAAATCAATCAGGCCTAGGGCCCTGTGCCTAAAATCTGTACAGGGCTGTGAAATTCCAAGTAAGCCTAATGACCCTGCCAGCTTGCATAGGGTGTCTGGTGTCTGCAGATCAGCACAGGTACTCTGAGTGACATGCAGGTAGGGCACCAGCTACCCTCAGCCACCTTGCTCAGAAGAATAGCCTTTAAAATGTGAGACATCACACTTGAGAAAAGTCTATGGTGGGAGATTTTCAATAAAAACAAGGCAGTGGGAAACGAGGGATGGTTTCATGTGTGCTCTAGGCTTGTCCCCTGCCTGCTTCAGCCCTAGATGGTCTCTGTAGCCTGGCTCTGGAGAAGGAACCCAGTTTTAGTCCAGACTAACCCTGATATTTTAAATCATTTCATTTGGCCATCCTGGCACCTACATTGGGGCAACTAAGCCACAGGTTTTCTGTTGGCTGGTGAAAGCTCCACCATACAATTTTACAGTCTATACCTGTGTGCTGGGGATCACAGTATGTACTGGGGTCTAGGTCTGACAATGCTCATCACACTGTCCCTAGCACTTAGCACCATCTCCAGCACAAACAAAGCACGATGGTTAAATATTCTGGAATGTTATAGCCAGATGCACAGTCCAACCATACCCACAGAATTCACTCCCAAAGGAGACAATGGAAAGAAACCCACATTGGAAGTGCATTTTCCTGACAGACACTCCGAGTAAGCCACACTCTCCATTTCTCTCCTTTGGCCCTAGGATAAACGTCCACCCACAGCTAACAGTGCACTGAAATGTCTGACACACTGTGTGGACCCTCTGCCGAGACTAACATGCAGATGCACTCAGAGTCCTTCCACCCACTCAGCTGAACTCTAATCACACTTCTGTGTGGGTGCAGGCATTTTATACAACTTTCCTTTTTCACAACATATTCCACAGAAAAGTATCTCACTCTTTCTACAAAGTTTCTCTACATCTTACTAAGCCATGTAACTCCATGTTGGCTCCCAGACAACTGATCCACATTCTGCACTGCCAGTCAGAGGATGGCTCAAGCCCTGTAGCGATTAGCAGCCACTGGGACCTGTCACTATCATGAATAGCAACACTCGAAAGAAACACAAGATCCAAAGTCAGGACCACCACTGGCCCCAATAAGACCTTTATCCACTCAGAATCAATACTTCATTAAGTGTGGCCTCCGAAGTGTGATGGGGCTGAGGAAATCCAGCCCTATGGTCCACATCCTGCCATGGCATTTAGATCTGTCTGTAGTTGAAACATATATTAAACGCCTCTCAGCTCCCTGTGGGTGGTAGAACACTGAAAAGGATAGGATTCTCCAGCAGATGTCCAGCTTGCTGCTGATCTCCAGGCCTCGTGCCTCCTGCCTCTCTTCTTCTAGCTGCTTCAGATTTGTCAAGTGTCCCTTCTCTCCAGGGGATTCTGGGACACTTTCAAAGTTGAACTTGTCCACTTGAATAGCCATTCTGAGAGAAGAAAGAAAACAGTGGAGAATTAATCAGTAGGGCAATTTCTTCCCAGAGCTGTTGGAGAGTCAGCACATGCCAGCATGAGACAGTCTGATGAACCATTATCACTAGTAATTCCTAAACGATTCATTCCCAGAAAATGAAATAATTACTCCCGAGGTGGTGCTGACTGCAGAGCTGGCTCGACACACAGTTCCAAAAGAGCTACAGCCATAGATTTAGACTTCTGAGAAGCCTTGCATCACTCCAGGTATAGGCTTCCATTGCACAATGGGTGTGGCAGACAGGACCTAGAATGTTGCTCAGGCAGTGTTCTGGGTCCTGACTTATGCTCCCTTCTGGACATCCACAGAGCATCCTGGCATGGCTGGACCCTGGGGACTTTTCTCTGCATTCTAAACTCTGCCTGATATGACTCCACAGTGCAGCCAAAGGAGCTCATGGGCTGACACATACACACCCTGCTCACAGTTGCCACAGCCCATATTTTACCACTGTAGCTTCCAAGCCACAGACTTGAGGGCCCTCCATTCAGCTCTCTGATCAAAGCTACCATTCCTCAACAAAACACTCTCATTGCTTACTGGGCCCTTTGACCTTCTACACATTTCTAGAATGCAGAAAGCTCTCTGTCTTAGTTGTGGCTCTGGAATGTTCTAAGTCATGACATGGCTGAGCACTCCTGAAGCAGGGGCTGAGCTCAGCTCAGCTCAGTCACAGCAGCCTACCCTCTATTCTCTCCTGCAGCATTCCATTTATTTCTGTCAGGGCATTTATCACGAGTTTAAAGATTTATCTCTGAGTAGGTTAATCGTATCTCAATTCTGCTATAATTTAGCTCTACAGGGGCAGAGATACACTTGGTCTGAGTGACCAGGCTCCCCAGGTATAGAATAATGTCCAGGACATGTCAGTGACTCAGTGAATAACCAGATGGATGAAGGAGCAGATTAAAAGCCTCCCCAGATAACACAAGTCAGTCTTTCTTCCCCATTGTGTCTGTATTCTGGCTAACACCCTGACCTGTCATATGTCCCCACCAAGGAGACCTGATGTCTAAACTTTATCTCTTGGCCTGATTGGGCATATACCAGGTACTCACTAAAGGTACTTTTTGTGGATGTTAGGAGGGAGGCAGAGAGGAAGGGGGCTTCTAAGGACTCCTAAGCTGTGGCTCCAACCCAAACAGGACTCAGAATGAATCAGCTGATGGGTGAAAGTGGACGTTGATGGTATTGTTGGACTCTGAGTGGCCATATTTGTCAGCAAAACCATAATCCCCTTTGGGGCTTTTCCAGATGTACATCACACTCAGTGATGTAGTCTCAAGACCTATGCTGGCTCTACTTAGGGCTGCTGAAGGGTCAATAAATCTATGGTACTATGTTCAAAGCCTGACCTGGAAGGCTGGTGACCCAGGGGATGAAGGCGCTGCTGGGGAAACACAGTCCATGCAGATAGCAGAACAGCCCCCTAAAGTTAAATATACTCTTGTGGGTGTTTTCTAAGAAGTTTATCATAAGCTCTTGGGGACAAAAAGCACAAAAAGGGAAAAACTAAAGACTAATAATGTAAGATCTTAAAAGTTATACTTTAGTTCCATAATCTCTTCCTGAAGTATTTGTATTTTAATGTGATTAAAAAAATTTTTTTCTGCTCATCTCGGTAATTCAGAAGAGTGACTGTATCCACAACACATGTGCTTGAATGTAAGTAATCATAGTATCTAGAGAATACTATGGACATACACCATCAAAAATTAGTTCACATAACTAGGTATGCTTCAGGTCTAAAATCCCAGCTCCCAGAAGACTGAAGCAAGGTGACTGTGACTTCAAGGCTAGCCTGGAGTACAGAGCAGATTCAAGGACAACCCAGGCTATGTAGCAAGACTACCTTTTAAAATAACATGTGGGGGTGTTGGTGGTAGTATGATTGACCAGGTAAAAAAATTAAAAAGAATTTAAAAATATTTGCTACATGAATATGATGACCTTTGAAGCATGAGTTTGAAGCATGGATCTCATGGTGGAAGGAAAAAAACTGATTTCCAAAGGTGGTCCTTACATCCACAGGTAGGCAGGGTATGCACCTGGACCCACATACACATCATACAAACAAATAAATGTGTGTATCTCATTGACACAGCATTTGCCTAGAATGTACAAGGTCTTGGTTTTGGTCCCTGGAACCATTTTTTAAAAATTTGCAAAACATGATATAAGAATCATAACACACAAAAACAAAACAAAAAATACTTAATATTCCGAATTTTTGACTCTCTGGTATTTCCCATTTTTTAAAAAAGTACATATACAAAGAACTCAAGAAACTAGAAATCAAACTACCAAATAATCCAATTTTTAAAATGGGGTACAGATCTAAACAGAGATTCTCAACAGAAGACACTCAAATGGCCAAAAGACACTTAAGGAAATGTTCAACATCCTTGGTTATCAGGGAAATACAAAATCAAAACCACTCTGAGATTCCATTTTACATCGATCAAAATGGCTGAAATCAAAAGCATCAATGACAGCTTATGCTAGAAAGGATGTGGAGAAAGGGGAATACTCCTCCGTTGCTAGTGGGAGTGCACACGTATACAGCAGCTGTGGAAATCAGTATGGTGATTTCTCAGAAAATTATGGATCAACCTACCTCAAGACCCTGCAATACCACTGTTGGGCATATACCCAAAGGAGGCACAGTCACACCACAAGAACATTTGCTCAACTATGTTTATAGCAACATTATGTGTAATAGTCAGATCCTGGAAACAGCCTAGATGCCCCTCAACTGAAGAATAGATAAAGAAAATGTGGTATATTTACACAATGGAGTACTACTCAGTGGTAAGAAACAATGACATCCTAAAATTTGCAGGCAAATAGACAGAACTAGAACAAAAACATCCTGAGTGAGGTAACCCAAAACCAGAAAGACAAATATAGTATGCACTCACTCATAAATGGATACCAGACATAAAGCAAAAGATACCCAGCCCATAATCCATAACCCCAGAGAAGTTAGAAGCCTCTTCCAGAAACAGATGGAAGCAGATGCAGAAATCCACAACTAACCAAGGGGCCAAGCACCTGAAGTACAAATGAAGTGAGGAAAGAGTGATAATATGAACGAAGAATGGGGAAACCACAGAATCAGCTGACCTGAGCTAGTGAGAGATCACTGACTCTGGTCTGACAAATGGGGAACTTGCATAAGACCAAACTAGACTCCCTCAATATAGGTGATAATGGTGTGACTGGGACAATATATGAGGCTACTGGCAGTGGGTCCAAGATCTAACACTAACATACAAATTGACTTAGTGGAGCCTATTCTATATGGAGAGATACCTTGCCCGGCCTAGGTACAGGGGTGTGGGGGGTGGAGAGGTGCCTTGGTCCTGCCTCAGTGAGATGATGAAACAGACTTAGTAGACTTCCTAGGGGAGGTCTTACCCTCCATGAGGAGCAGATGGGAAGTGGGGAATGGGGAAGACAGGTAGCAGAAGGAGAGGAGGGAGGGGAAACTGGGATTGGAATGTAAAAAATAAATTAATAAAAAATGTACTATTGCTGAGGTGTCCTGCCAGCTCTCTCTGTTATTGTCTTGTCCTCACTGAGAACCTGGATGACTTGGAGAAGTGTTAAGTTGTTAAGCCAACTCCACATACCCTGAAGGCCTGAGAGGTCCCCTGCATGTCTATACCAGCCCCTCATGACCTGCCCTTGGTCATTATAGGGAGTCACTTTTGTAGATTCATTGTTCAGTGCTAGCTCCATTCAGAAAATGTGGAAGTCACAAGCACAGGGATCCAGAATGCTCCTTTAGACACTGGTTAGCACATATCTAAAATTTGCACACTTCTATTCTGTATTAAAGGAATAACATACTCTGGGTGTCCCATGGCAGGCATCTGACGCTGCTTCCACAAAGCCCCCTGATAAGTATGAGGACAAGGAGGTGGGAGCATCTCTGCTGAGAGAAGCACAGGCCACTGCCTCACATTCCCACATACATGAGTACCAAGGAAGCAGCTTTCCTATCGGGGCAGGGCCACTGGCTTGAAGCAAATAGGGTACAAAACTAACAAAGACTGAGCAACACGGTACATGGTCTTGTTCCCCACAGTCTTTGTGGTACGGCAGAGAGAGGACACATTAGGAGTTTAAGTGTATGAAGGGACACCACAGATGCAGGGTTGTTTCCCATGGGTGGAGAGCTCTATGGAGGAGAAGTGGGGGTATCTGGGTTCACATAGTCTGGACTCCAGCTCATTTCACATAGAAGCTGGTCACCAGAGGCAGCCACACGATTGTCTTCACATCTTTGACCCCCTCATACTGCAGGATCTGGGAGCATTCACTTGGCTCACTTGGTGTAATTGGTGCTCAAAAACATTATAGCAGTTATTTTCTAGGGTAATGAAAATGTTTTAAAATGGATTTCGGTGATGGCAGCACAGCTCTCTGAATGCCTTGGAATGGTGTACACTTCAGGGGGATGGACAGTATGCTATGTCAGCAGAGCTTTTATAAGAAATTATGGCTGTTACGGGAACTTACGCTAATGATCAAATGGGCTAGCCAAAATAGGTTTTGTATGGTATAAAATGCCACACAAATGCTAATGGGCCTGTGTGTTACTGCCCCTCACTGTCCTGCAGTCATAACCATCATTCCACTGAAGTTCATGTCAGGTGTCTACTCCCCATTACTTTCACCCTTCTCTCAGGCAATGCTGTTTTCTTCAACTTGGTGCTACCAGAACCCAGCACAAAGCAGACACTGGACAAAGACAGCTCAAGGAGCAGCTGGCTACACCATCACAACTGTTGTGGACCCCAGACCTGGCATGATGGATGTTTTCTCTACCATCACCGGAAAATCTCTCTGCCTTCCACCAGATCAGCTGTTTGAAACAGAACTTTGTGGCTTTCTCCAGCCTGCTTAAAGCTTCTGCAGATGCCAGTATGGAGGTTAAAATGTCA